GTGCTTTATGTACTAAACTAATTTCCAAAAACTGTGGCCACGAAGGTGCTACTAACTAGTAAGACTGAAAGTCCCACTTCAGTGACTAACTTCACTTCTGAAAGCATGCACTGCATCAAGCCTTATATTTTCAAACCATCGCAAGTTCATGTGAACCTACCAACTGTCCACCTAAGACCCTGTGAGCTCTGACCCCATGCTCACACTGCGAAAACGCTGAGGTTCACTGAACGGCACAGTGAGGAAGGACATTTTGTTTCCTCCCAAGGGAGGTTTGGGGGTGGACACAGCTTTGTTGTGACTGATAGCTGGCTGGGAGCTGCAGAGCTCCAGACTAGAGTGGGCAGCTGGGTGAAAGAGGAGAGCAGAGGGGTGACTCGAGGTGATGGGAATGGAGGAGGATGGTCGAGAAGACTTCTCTCTGGAGGACTTAGGTGGGGGAGGAAGCAGAGACACTGGAGCTCTGGTTGTCTCTCCGCTCTCTCCTTTCCCTTCTTCTTCCCCAATCTGGTGCTCTTCGTTGTACTTACTCTCCGCTCTACTCAGCTCTTTCCTCTCCTTGATGGCAGGTTGCTCTCCTGGCCAGTCCTGCTCAGACCCAAACTGAATCTCCAGCAAAGGCGTTCTGGCACTCTTCTCATCCCTAAAACTGCACACAGTGCTCTGTGTCTCCTGCCCGAGCCCTGATGGCAGAGACCCCGCTTTACCTATTTTACAGCTGTCCTCGTCTTCATCATCGCTGTTGTACTGGTCAATGCCGGGCGAGTGGTGCAGTCTCTGGAGCTGTGCTGAGGTGCGTCGAAAGGCCCCTCCCATTAGGCCAGTCGGTGATGGGGCTGAGTTGAGAAGGCGGTTGAAGAGCGCCATGTTAGGATGGCGAGTTCCTGACTCCTCCAAGTTCTCAGCAATATCTTCCAGAGGCTGGAAGTGCATCTCCTCTTTAGGAATCCTGTCAAGTGAGACAGCAATTTACGTTCCATGTTCAGAGTTGTGTTTTGCGTTTTCAGCCTTCCTCTGGGGAACAGGTTTTACCATTTCTCAGCCCTAACTACGTCACAGTACTTGATTTAATTTAGGTGCATTACTTTCATTTTCACAACTGAAATTTTCCCACCATGAGGGGGGAATCCAGTTGAAGGTGTCAAAGTCACAAAGGAAGTACGCGTACAATGAGAAGGTAATGCAAAACTTACGCCATGTCAAAAGTGGACCCCTGGAACGAGGGCTTACGCAGGACGAAGAGAGTGGCTGCGGTGTAGGGTGGACGGGGATTGGAGTCATTCCAGTAACGGTCTCTCTCCATCATCGGCAAATCTCCATACATCTCATCCACAGCCATCATGGAAACCTACAGAATGAAATGCAAAGAGATGCACACATAAGAAGTATCCACAATAAGAGAAAAAGCAAGCACAACAGAAACATAAATTTTACCCGATGGTCGCTCTCTGCAAACATTTAAAACAGATTACAATAACTGCCACAGTGTCATTATAGCAGGCCAGGGATATGGAGGAGAAATTTAAAACACAAAACAATGAAGAAGCTGCATTTGATAATGAGGCCACAAAGTTCCTCCCTGAGAAGTTGATTGTTTCAAGATCAGAAAAAGAGACAGCATTAAGAAACCTGGAAGTTTCTGTCTATCAGCCAGTTGGTCTCAAAGTCGTCATCATCTTCTCCAAAAGGGTTGATCAGCTGCTCAGCAACCTTCAGAACAAAAAATAAAATATTTTTTAATTTTTTTTTTAGAATCAAACAGAGAATAAATGTGCTGTAAGCCTAAATCTGACCTTGAGCCAGCCTGCATAAAAGAAGAACTGCAGTAGAGTGAAGATGGGCACATAGAGGTCAAGGTCATGACCTGGATAACCTTGACTGGGGTCCAGGAACTGGCGACCAATTAGACACACCAGGAAAAAACTGTACACGGCCAAAGTCACCACCTGAGGGACAGATGGATTTAGGAGGTTTCATGATTTACTTTGCAGCTTTTCTTTAACCTCTTTTTTATCATTACAACACTAAAATGATCAAAAAGAAGCACTAAAATACACTTATTTTATTTTACATTTACAACAGATTAAGTGTTTATTAAAGACAGTTTATGTGAACATCAACAAATGCAATCTGACTAATCAAAAACGTATTTAATAGCTGCATACAAATACACTGAGGCATATTCCTTAATTAAGTTATGTACTTACAAACACTAACAAAGTAAAGAAGTCTTTTTGGTTACTTATTTTTGACTGTTGCATTTTTGATCCTATATATCACGAAGCTCTAGAATGCAGCTGTAGTTATAGATTTGTTTTATTAGTTAAAATTATTACTTTTTATAAAAATCACCGTAAAAGCTAAGTACGTCCTTACTGTTTCCATTGGAAATAAGAGGATAAGTAGCAGCTAAGTGTTGCTAATCAAATGCACTTAATAAAATGATAATCAACAAGTGTGACCACCTCTGTACAAGCAGAGGTTTTAGCAGTTTGCCAGTCTGAAGCATTCAGGTAAGTGTTAACACAATGCCGTAATCATTTTAGGAGTGGACATCCCAGCAAATTCTTCCCATGGTTAGAGTGTGCAGTGCTTAGACAAATTGCAAGAATTAGACTCTGAACAACATCTCAGACTCTACAGACCTCAGTTAGCGCTCAGTGTTCAAGTTCGTGGTAGTACAATTAGAAGAAGACTGGACAAGTATGGTTTGTTTGGAAGCTTCCCCTTCAGAAAGCCTCTCCTCTCTAACGAACATGGCAACATGACTTAAGTTACACCTGAAAGAAACCATAAGACTCCCAGAACAATGTCCGGTGGACATTACACACAGTACCGCATTTAATGAAAACCTAGCACAGCATATTAGCATGAGCGCCTCATATCAGCTGTGAAGCACATTGGTGTTTTGGGCTTATTTTCCAGCCACAGGACGTGGGCACCTTCTAATCATTGAGTTCACCATAAACTCCCCTGTGCACCAAATGTTATAGAGTCAAATGTGAAGTCATCTATCTAAAACAACTGAAGCAATGAACATTGAAAGACTGATAAAGTCATACAGAAAATAATTACTTTGAGTTACTGCTGCTAAAAGGTCGATCTACAAGCTACTAAATCACAGGATGTACTTCGTTTTTCACGAGACTGCATAGAGTGCTGTGAAAACTTTTTGTTTCAAATGAATGTACGTGACTTGTCACTAGGGACTAATTTATTATTTATATTTGAACAATTACAATTTGAGAGATGCAGTCTTTCACCTGTAAGGTTTTGTCACTTCAGCTGGAAGCAATCGCAGTCATTTCTTTGATATCGGTGAATAAAATTGAAACAGATAATATACAAAAGCCTAATGTAAAAAAAAATGTTTGTGTGAAAGAAAATCATAGTTTAATTAAAGATGTGTGATAGCAGTGCGATAATAGTGAGCACTTACCTGAGTGTAGACCAGAGGAACACTGATCATGTCATAATGAAACAGCATGCTACACTTCCCTCTGAATGCATTCAGTTCCTGTTCACACACAAATAAAGAAACTAGCTGTCTGTGTGAATGCATATCAAAACCTGCATATCCACCAAAACACAACTTTAATTCTGCTGTACCTCCAGCAGTAGTTTGAGAGTGTGATTGTCTTTGATTCTGCCCTCGCAGCGAGCCATAGCAGCCAAGTTGGTGAACCAAACACAGGGGATCCAGTACTTGTTATATGGAGAGTGGAGACCTTCAAACTTCTTTCGCTCATCTCTTGTCATGAATCCTGCATGGACCAAAACCGGACTTGTTTATTATGTAAGATTTCAGTTTAAATAACAGCAAGAAACTGGGATGAGGGGTCATAGACAATAGTCACAAAGAACTGTGTCAGAAAACAAACGTAGTCTTCTGACGCTGTTCAAATCTCTGAGAATTGTTTGTGTTTGTGAAATAACTTCACATTGCAAATCAAAGCAGGAGAGTCATTTGTGCGTGACTGGGCTAAAACACTTTGGGTCACTTCTTGACTACAGCCTGGGAAACATCTGATCACTGATACTCCTCATCAGCATCATCAGCATCAGCGAGTAAATGGCTATTTTACATTAACAGCTAAGACTAGACCCACACCACTCCCATCACCATCTTCCCTCCTTCACCATCCTTCTTACCCGCCTCTACCACGTGGTCCATGGTGGGGAAACGTTTGAAGACAGCAGTGCTGACGGAGCGGAGGATGAGCAGGGCTGACAGACTGGCGTAGCGCATCATGGTGCGTCTCAGCAGACGGCCTCGCTCGTCGCTCCCCTGGAGGCCGCCTGACAGGACGCACATGAGTCTGTCAGGGAGTGGGATGCTGGTGTACTGGTTCCACCACCTGTTCACCACCAGGGTCACATAGAAACCTGCAAACAGCAGTGGACAGATGATTACTACTGTAGATCTAAGTTACAAACTGGAACTTTTAAAAAAACATGAGATCATATGCTATCTTGTGAGGTCCATAAAGGGGCCTAAGGGATGTCAAGTGGTTTGAGTTTACTGTTACAGTGCTGTGAAAAAGTATTTGCCCCCTTCCTGAGTGGCTAATCCAAACCTATCCAGCCCTATGTGAAAAAGTAACCCAACTCATGTTAAATCATGAATTAACTGCAATTAACCACGTTTTTGAAACACTGAGTTCACTACCCACACCCAGGTCTGATTACCGCTAGACCTGCTAAATCAAGAAATCACATAATATAATCTACCCGACAAAGTGAAATAAGTTAAAAGATCTTAAAAGAAACACATCAGGTGGTGGTCTAAAAATCTAAAGCTGAGAAACAAAGTCACTGATGTCTATTAAACTGAAAAGGATTACACAGGTTTTGGGACTCCAGTGAACCAGAGTGAGAGTCATTATCCACAAATGGAGAACATTTGGAACAGTGGTGAACCTTCCCAGGAGTGGCCATCCTACCAAAATTATTCCTAAAGTGCACTGACGACTCAACCAGGATCACCAAAGAGCTCAAAATGACATGTAAAGAACAACAACTTAAATAAAAATAAAAGAAAAAACAACATCTCACAAGAAGTCAAAGGTCAGGGTGAAGAGGTGGGTTTTCAGAAGTGTTTTAAAAACAGGCAGAGAAGAGGCCTGTCTAATCTCTAAAGGCAGATTGTTCCACAGTTTTGGAGCTGCTACGGCAAAAGCACGATCTCCTCTAAGCTTACGCTCAGTCCTGAGTACATTCAGGCACAGCTGATCAGCTGACCTAAGCGAGTGAGGGTGAGTGTATAATGCTGTAGCAACTCAGAGAGATAAGATGGGTCTAGGCCATGGAGGCTTTAAATGCAAATAAAATAATTTTAAAATGAATCCTAAAAGAAATGGGCAGCCAGTGAATTAAAAAAAAAAGACTGGCAAAAAATGCCCTCAATGGAAGAGTTTCAAAGAGAAATTCTCTGCTGACCAAAAACAACACAAACGCTTTTTTCACATTTGCCAAAAAAGAAAAAAAAAACAGGACTTTTAGAAAATATTCTGTTGACTGATGAGACAAAAGTTGAACTTTTTGGAAGGTTTAATGATGTAAAACTAACAACAGTCAAACAT